GTTGTCTACAACGTTCTGGGCTCTATCCTCTTCTGGGTTTTATTACATGTGCACACAATAAACCCTTTCCCTGTTAAAAGACTATTACAACACATAAAAAAGGGTCTTTTTTAGCCACGGACAACTCTGAGTGGTAATAGTTGTTTCCAGCTGAGTCTTCTGACTATGTACCCAGATTTAAGGTAAATTTTGCATTCTGTTTGAGCACCACTGCTGGCAATATCCAAAGCAATAAATCTGAAACTGGTTTGGGTATGTCAACAGGTTCTGCAGCTTGGGAGGTACCTGATGTGTAGGCATACATGAAGATGCAGGAACCATCCAAAAACATGGTATAGAAATGATGCAAAAATACTTAAAAGAAAGATTTCCATCCCTGAATTCTTTTGGTGAAAGCCACTAAGAATACCAAATGAGAGAATCTGCATCTCTCATACCTTAACTGAAGGTGGATGGGGCTTTAAAACTTTATAAGAAATACCATTTTCCACAACCTGCCTCTGTTTGAGGGCAGCACTGCAAGGAAGTTCAGTGTTCAGAGGTGTTAATGTAATTTTATGTTTTTAATTTCCTTGGTCTTGAAGCCACCCAAAGAAACAATTTAATTAGTATGCATGCTATTGTTTGAATACTTTCAACTGGGCTTTTTACATTCACATTTTACTGAAATGGACGGAAATGGGAAAAAAGTGACTCTTCTTTACATTTTACTTGTAATATTTAACTGGTAACAGCATCACTTTACTGGCCATTTACTTAATCTTTTCAGAGAGTCTTACTGTTTTTGTGTATTTTCAATAGAAAAAGAGATTTTTAAAGTGAAAATCTAGAAATAACAGAATATTACAGAGACTCCAAAATTACTCTTCAGTTCTTCCTGAGACATTCCTTGGGTATTTTTGATATTCTGGTATTTCTTCATAGGATGTGTTATATGGAAGTTACAGTATTCCTCACACACATCCAGCATCATTCTCTGGGCAACTGTCCTTATGTCTTATGACAACACATGGTCTGGAAATGCAGTTACTAAAAGCAGGTTCTACTATGACCTGAACAAAACCACTTGCAGTGACTGACCTTTCAGATGCTAATCTCTTTCATACAAAGTACAGGTACTCATCTCTACCAAGACTTCAGAAAATAGTATTTTAGTCTTTGTATTATTGCTTTCTTCTTCTGACCATAAGAAAGGTACCTCTTCTATCAAGTAGTAACTCAGAAAAAATGGTAAATTTTCTTTACATTTGAGAAATTCTACTTAATTGAGAAGTTCTTTAAATTCTCATGTCTAACCTGAGGTCAGATGTGAAAAATTACAGTCAAAGAGACTTTGGATAACAGATGTGAGGATGAGATCTTTAAGGGAAATGGATTTGCAAGCTATACTACCTTGGATAGTCCCAGACCACTGCTAATGTTCCACTTTTCAACTAAGAGTTTAAGTGAAATGCTATAGACTGTACTTCAGGAATTCCACCTGTTAACTTGCTGTTGAAGTTATTCTTTCACCAAAGTTCTTTCTGATACATTTTGTTAAGTTGTCTAAATCCTGCTGTAGTATTGATTTCTCTCTTTAAAAGCTCTCACCCATTCAGTAAGCTCCAAGGACCCCTTGTCCCAGCTCAATTCATTCTAAAATACAGCTGGGATATGTTATTCCTGACACCAGTCTCAGAGTTACTAACAGATGTTAGAGATATAAGATGGTTTTAGGAACAGAAAGGGAAATGTTTCTTTACCACAAAGAAATACACAATAGTTGTTATAACCCTTGGATAACTGTCTTGCCCACAGAGATTTTTTTCCTTACTCTGTTGCTCCTTGAACACAGCTGGTTTTCCATTTACTGGGCACTTAACAGTAGCTACATTGAATTTATTAAAAGGACAGTATTGCCATAATAATCCCAAGCCTGCAGAACTATTACAACTAATGAAAAGACACAAGTAGATATACAGAAAAAGTAAATTAACCATCCAGGCAGCATGGTCCAGAGGTTCTCTTCTCACAATGGGAGTCTGCAAGATAGGTTCTACATCAAGGCCTTCAAATTACCTTAAAATCTGCACTGTTAATATTAAGCAGAATTGAAGGTTTCAGGCATTTCAGTCAAAGAATATACCCACCAAGGGGCCAGTCTGGAAAACAGCTACTCACGTGGTACTTTAATTACCCCCATTACCTTCAGACTAATTTCAGAGAAGGAAGTCTGCTGCTTGAGGAAAAACATTTCTTATTACGGTGCAGTATCACTGCTTCTTAGGCCAGCTTAGTCAGTTATTTTCTTCTATTACAATGCCAAATGTTATTTAGATTTCAGTCATTTAGTAATGCTACACTGAACACATCAAGGATTCTGCAAAATTCCATACCTACTAGCTGCCTCTTCATTTTCATAATAATCACATATTGATATCCTTTTTTCCCCAAAATTACACACACTGTTATTTTAAAAATATCTTCGTGTCTTAACACAGTTAAAGAGATTATGATGCAACGAACAGCAGTCTTCAAAAACATTATTTCGTGTTATTAAGATACAGAAAATCTAGTTAAAATTCTTTCAGCTTTTAAGGAACCATAAGGAGCTTTGAGATGTAGAGCTTGACACTAACTTTTTAACAAACTCCCTTGGAGCTATCATCTGCATTAGTGAAGATATTCAGTTAAAG